GTTACCAGCTAGTCCTTATGCCGGCAACAGCAATATTGTGGTGATAATACAAGGTCTTTCTCGTTTCTTTTTCTTAACCTGGTTATTGGTTAATTTCCGTGACCTGGTTTGTACTTTAGGGGTGAGATTTCCCACGTGATCTCTCCCCTGATTTTCTTATCATTACTTGGGGGGTGGCAGTGGAGTTTTTATCCCCAAAATCCGGTTAAGATTTTGGGGGAAGGTTTTGCCAAAGCCCGGAAAGAGAAGGTTTTGGGGTACTTTTGTGGGCCCCCACTTCTGCATTTATGGTGCCAGAGTGGGGAAGGAGCCGAGCCCTGAAGAGGGAGCAGTCGAGTCCTGACGGCCCACGGGAGCGGTGGAGAGCCCCGGCAGGAGGGGCCTTGATCCACAGTGCTCATCCCCAGGTCTGGCCAGCAGGAGGTGCTCCGGTGGTGAGTCAAGCACGCTGCCCTCCTCCTTCTTGCTGGGGGTTGAGGCTGAAGCCTGCCCCGAAGGCGCCTCTGGTCACACAGCAGGGGATACCGTGCTCCTCGCAGCCAAGCCCCCCTTCAGCCTGGGCCCTGCCATTGGCTTCCTGCCCCCCCCCTCGGGCTCAGCTGGGCAGCAGGAAGGGTTTTCAGCCCCTTCTATGTGGCATGAGACGGCTCCCCAGAAAGAGCTCTCCAGGGCATGGCCCTGGGTGCCACCCCTCTGCCCAGCCTTCCTCTCTGCAGACAGAGGTGAGCTGCCAGCTACCCCACAGATGGCCATGAACCGGGGATCTGGGTGTGGGATGGAGGGGGACGGGAGAGGCACCTTTCCCTCCAGCGCCTCCTGCTGGGGGAACCTTGGAGCGGACCATCAGAGAGCTCCCCTATGGGTGGTGCTCCGGTGCCAGTCCCTCTACAGCGCCTCCTGCTGGGCGAGGCTGGGAGTGCACCGCTAGGCGTCCCCCAGCACTCTGGGCCTTGGGGAGGGCCAGCGGGGAGGCAGGAGGAGCCCGTACCTCTGAGCTCCTCTCCTCCTGGCTCCTTGCCCCTGCCTCTGCTTGTCCTGCTGCCTAGCTCCCGTCTGGACAGGGAATCAGAGCAGGGGGGTTGCCATTTATTTACCATAGGTTAGGATTTCCTTGAGGCGCGTTCTGCCTCTGGGGGCCTCGCTGCAGGGGACGCTGGGAGGCTAAGTGGTGCGGCTGTCGGGCTGGCCCTGGGGGGATCCTGGCCCAGGAATGGGGGCACGGAACCCGGCTTCTCTGGTTCAGAGGCTGGGGGTGGGGGAGTGTCGGGAGTGGGGAGGGGAGAATCCAGACTCCCTCTCCCAGCTCCGCTGCTATTACCACCCTACATCCCCCAGCCCTCTTCCTTCCTGGCTGGCTCCTCTTCCCACCCCGCCCCCCGGCTTTCTGGGCCTCTCTTCTGGTCCCCAGACCTGCTAGTATCCTACAGCGCTGGGCTGTGCGTCTGGGAGGGCAGGGGCGCCCCTTTGTGGAGCTTTAAGGCCATTACCGCAGCACTGCATAGCAGGGGAGACGTCCGTAAGGTTACTCCCGTTCATCCGGATTCGCTAACCTGCCCCCAAAGGCAGCTGAACCCCAGACAATGGCCACAGCCGAGCGGGGCGCAGAATTCGGGGGTCCGAGTTCCAGCTCTCTTGCGCCAACCACCTTCCAGCTCCCAGAGTTGGGGAGAGAACCCAGGAGTCCTGCCGCCAGAGCCCCCGTCTCGCGCTCTGAGAGCTTCCCAGAGTGGGGGACAAATCGTAGAATCCTAGAACACTAGGACTGGAAGGGACCTCGCGAGGTCATCGAGTCCAGTCCCCTGCCCTCATGGCAGGACCCAGTACTAACTAGACCAGGGGTTCCCAACCTGGGATAAGTGTACCCCCAGGGGGTACGAGAAACTTGTCAACGGGGTACGGGGAATATTTGGTAAATAACTAGATTATCCTAATTGTAATATTCCAAAAGTAGCAGTGTTAGTGAAAAAAGTTGTGGATTCTAGAGTCTAGAATGTATTTCCTTTCATATTGAAGAGGGGGTACGGGAAGGGTTACTAAAAGCCAAGGGGCTACAGGGACTGAAAAAGGTTGGGAACCCCTGAACTAGACCATCCCTGACAGACATTTATCTAACCTGCTCTTAAATATCTCCAGAGATGGGGAGTCCACAACCTCCCTGGGCAATTTATCCCAGTGTTTGACCACCCAGACAGTCAGGAACTTTTTCCTAATGTCCAACCTAAACCTCCCTTGCTGCAGTTTAAGCCCATTGCTTCTTGTTCTATCCCCAGAGGCCAGGAAGAACAAGTTTTCTCCCTCCTCCTCATGACCCCCTTCTAGATACCTGAAAACGGCTCTCATGTCCCCCCTCCGTCTTCTCTTTTCCAAACTAAACAAGCCCAGTTCTTTCAGCCTCCCCTCCTAGCTCATGTTCTCTAGACCTTTCATCATTCTCGTTGCTCTTCTCTGGACCTTCTCCAACCTCTCCACATCTTTCTTGAAATCCAGGTGTCCTGTTTCCCACGCCCGCCCATTCTGTGCCCTTTGCCACCCTCCCTTGCTACTTCCTCCGGCCCAGCTCCCCCTGTCAACCCCCATATTCCTCTCCTGCCCCCGGCACGGCTCCCTGGGCTGGGCACTTCCTGAGCCTGACGGGAGAGTCTTGGCAATGACAGTCGAGCTTTGCTTTTCCACGACAGGGGGGCAAGAAGTGGTTGGTCTGGCGCCAGGGCGCTGCCCCCAGACAGCAGGGCACTGCCCCCGAAAGCGCCACATGTTGGCACTGCCTAGGCCTCCTGTCCAGGCACGGCCCAGCTTAGCAGCTCCTCCAGTGAGCCCACCCCTGCGCAGGGCAGGCAGGCGAGAGGGGGAGGAATGCAATGTCTCTTCCCATGTTTGGCTCCCTGTCTGGGCTAGCTTCTCCGCACAGGTCAGGCTGGATTATCACGTGAGCCGGGCGCTCACACGGCCCAGGCTAATTCTCAGCCCCCCCTTCCATGCTCACAACAATGGGAAGCAGCCCCCAGCTGGATGCGATCCAGGGGAATTTGGAAAAGTGGCACCGGGGCTATCTCGGACAGGAATGCACAGGGCTCTTCCTTCCCTGGCTAAAAATAGGGCCCTTTTCCCGAGCCGGTCACCACATTCCCACTGGAAATCTGCGGTGGGGAGAGAGGGAAGGGAAGTCAGAAAGTGCTGACTCAGGAAGGCAGCGGTGGTGGCCAGGCCTTGTTCTGGCCGCGGCGGCGCTCGGCTCACCTCCCAACACCACTAGGCCTCACACACAGCAGCTTCCACGGAGGGCGAGCCCCATTAGCCCCACTGCACCGAAGGGAAACTGAGGCACAGGGCAGCAAAAGGACCATGCCCCAAAGGCTCTGGGCCTGGAACCCAGGGGTCGTGACGACCATGCCATGTGTTGCTCTGAGAGGCTAGGAAGGCTCTGGCCGCTGCGCCCTGCTGCTGTGCAGAGCTTGGGGAGCTTCGTGCCCTGCTTGGCCTGGCAGCAGCTGGCCCTGAACGGAAGAAGCATCGGTTAGCGGTGGGTAACGGACCCAGCTCTGCAGAACTGAGGCTTTTCCCAGCGTCTCTCCTGCTGTGGGGTGATGCTGCCCCCTAGGGGGGAAAGGGCTCCATGCAACTGCCCAAAGCTGCGCCAGGTGGGCTTGGGCTGGGGGGGGCAAGTCAAAAAAGCCCAAAGGCCTGGCTGTCTGGGTCCTGGCCCGCAAGAGCAGGAGCAGGCAACCTTGACAAAGGCACCTCCCTCGGCCACAGACCACAGGGGAGTCAGGACGCTCGGGTTCTGCACCTCGCCGAGCAGTCCCGGCAAGTCACGTCCTCGCCCCGTGCCTCAGTTTCCCTCTATACAACCCCACAGAAGAGGACTGGCATCTGCTGGCACCAAGGCTGCTGGGGAGATCGGCCGGGGGGCTGCCTCTTTCTCTCTGCCCCCGCTGGCAGAAACCTGTCAAGGGGGTAATACTTTCCTCCTGCCCCGTCCAGGTACCAGAGGGGATTCGGGAACCTAGCACGCCACCCTCCCCGAGAGCTCCAACGGCTGCATTCCCCGTCCCCGGTGGCAGAGTGAGCAGCTGGAGCCAAGCATGTACGCTCCCGCCGGGCCCTTCCTGGCTCTTCGGCCTGCCTGGGGCCGCTGCCCAGTGGAGGAAGGCTCCAAAGCCAGATGTCAGAAGGCCTGTGATGGAACGAGGCCCCTTCTCTGAGCAGCTTGGGGGCTTCTGTGTCTCCGGAGGTGGCCAGCTGAGCCGGCGGCATTGGGACTGAGAGAAATGGGCCTTCTGGGCTGGGTCACTGTTTCTTTTCCAGGACGCAGGGGCCGTGCCGCCGTAAGTCTGCCTGGCTGCTAGACAGGGCCAGGGCTGGCGCCCTCGGTGTGGAGAGGGCAAAGCTGGGAGTGCTGAGCAGTCCCATGGCCGCTGGCGATACGCCCCACTAGTGACCAAGCGCTAGTAGCAAATCCAGGGCTCTCCAACCCGGTGCGGCTCACATTGCTACGGAGCCGGGGAGCAGTGCGATGTCCCCTTCCCGCCCCACGGCCCCCCGCGACACACACTCACGCCCCACGTGCCCCGGCGCACACACACGGGAACACACATGCTAACGTGTCCCGCCCTGCAGGAAAGAGCGGACACGCGGCCCCCTAACATGCCTGGAAGAGGAGACCCGTGAACAGGCCCTGCCATTCACACAAGGAAAGACACGCACAGGCTGACGCATGCTAGTGCCCGGATGAGCAAACAGGAGCCAGCACAAGCGACATGCACTGACATTCAATCAGAACACACCCCCCTCCCTCCCAGCTGTGCACACCAGAGAAAACAGGACCCTCTTGAGGTGCATTCGGAAGAGGATAGGACTGACGTGCCCTGGCGAGCACACAAACAATGCCCACAAACATGCCATACCTCCTGTCAAGAAGCATGATGGACACAGGACAACCCAAACCTAGGATCATGCCCTGACATGCGTTCCAGAGCAGACACGCTCACAGGCCAGTGAACAATTTAGAGCCCATTTATTGCGGGTGGATAGGGAGGCCATATACACGGTGAGAACAGCGTCTGGCTGGCATGAGAGCAGGGTGGGCCCCAGACCCAGTGCAGCAGCTGCCAGCTCAGCCCATCTGGCTAAGCGACTGCCTGTCAGCCATGGGGTCCCACTCCCCGGTCCTGTATGGGGCGCTGGTTCGGCTGGCGCTGGGGGAGTCAGGCCGCATGCAGGTTCTGCTTGTCAAATGGCAGCTCTCAGGAGGATACAAATGACCCCGGCCGCTGTAACTGGGTCCGTCAAGAGCCCCCACACTGGCATCAATGGGGGTTTCTCCCCTCATGGTGGAAGCGGGAGGAGACCTGGCCAGATCCTCAGCTGGCGGAGATCTGCCCGGCTTAGGGTTGCCAGGTGTCCGGTATTGGCCCGGATAGCCTGGTATCTGTGGCCTCTGTCCGGTAAAAAACCCAGAAAATACCGGCCATGGAAAGGGAAGGCCGCTTCCCCTGCTGCATCTGGTGGGGGTGGGGGGAGCAGGTGGATTTAAAGGCACAGTGACTCTTTGGTGCATTTTTTTTTTTTGCTCAACAACTTTGCCCCCCCCCCCTTTTTTTTTTGCTCAACCAATTTTTTCCCCGCCATGTTCGGTATTTTTTGTGAGCGTATCTGGCAACCCTCGCCTGGCTTGACTTCCACCCCTGTGGAGTTACAGGACCGGAGGGCCCTGCATTGGGAGACCGTTAATGCACCGCGGCAGGTTTCAGGCCCAGCCACGTGCCAGCAGTTCAGTCCCCACACAGCCCTTGGCTTCCCTGCTGAGACAGGGGGCAAGTGGGTCCGCCAGCCCCACAGACACGTGGGTTTTGTGCCATGGACGCTGCCCGGTCTCCCTCGGCTCTGGGAAAACGCTGCCATGTAAATGGCTACGGCGAGGCGCATACAAGAAGCAGGTCCTTGCGCCTCCATTGCGCCTCGGGGAGCCAGGCTGGGCTGAGCCCTCCCCCACTCCATGCACCAGTGATAATAGGAATACTTGGCCCTTATGCAGCACTAACTAATGAACCCTCCAGCGTCCCCCCGGAGGAGGGAAGCCTCGTTTATCCCCGCTGTCCGCGGAAGCGGGGAGCGTCAACGGCGAAGTACCCAGGCGTCCTGGCTCGCAGGACTGTGCTTGGGCCGCTGGACGCTGATGCCCGGGGGGCGTGAGGGGGATGGGCCACACGCCGAGAGGGCAGCTCTTCTCGGCCGCCCCCCGCCCTGGCAGCCAGCGCCTCAGGCGAAGACGGCCGAGTTCTGCCAGTAGGAGTACACCAGGAAGCCGGTGAAGGTGCTGTCCGTCTTGATGCTGGAGTAGAAGCCGAAGTAGTCGCCCACCCCGACCTGCACCCACACCTCGTCCTCCGGCTCCAGACGCACCAGGGCGCCGCCCGACAGCGAGGTGGGCTTGGGCCAGTTGCCGTAGAACTGGAAGAAGGAGGCCACCGACTGGCCGTTCTTCAGGATGTCGAACTGCAGGCTGGTGCGGTACACGGTGGCGTGGACGGCGAAGTAGTAGACGCCGGGGATCTGGCAGGTGAACTTGCCCGTGTCGGCGTCGTAGTGGCCTTGCTCGTTGATCAGCACCACGTCAAAGCGGATGGGCTGGTCCGCCAGGGGCGGGGCGCGGGACTCGGCCCGTTTGGCGGTGAAGGCCGAGCGGGGCGCCACCGCGCACTCCCCCTGCGCCCCCTTTTCCCCGCTCAGGCCATGCATGCCGGGGCTGCCGCTGTCCCCGCGGGGACCTGGGAGTCCTGCGGGGAGAGGAGAGAGAACGTCGCGGGGCGCTGAAGCCACGAACCAGCCCGCCCGTCCGTCTCGGTGACTGATTTGTGCTACGCCCATCCCCGCGGGGTCTGTGCCCCTGGCGGCATGCCACGGGTCCCCCGGAGCAGACAGGATCTACTGGTGGCATCTCGTGTATTCCCCTTGGAAGGAAGAAGTCTGAAACCCAGTTTTGTCCCTGGTGCTTCCCCTCTTTGGCTCTGTGGCTGGTTCACAAAACTGGCCCAATGCCGTGGCTGTGGGCCACCAATGGGGCCACCTTCATGGGGAGACAGGCCCCAGCTCCCAGTGAATTCCCTAGCAAGGGGGTCTCCTTACCAGGCTGTCCAATCTCTCCCTTCTCCCCCGGTATCCCGGCGGCTCCGTCCCGGCCGTCCCGGCCGTCTCTGCCAGGGAGACCCTGGCTTCCATGGATACCGGGGGTCCCTGGGATTCCGGGCTGCCCAGGGCACAGACTGGGGATCTTGTTGTCCTCGATCTGGCAGGAGCTGGCGATCAGCCCGAGGAGGAAGAGAAGCGGCTTCATCTCGGCTGCTGGGGAGAGGCCGGGAGGAGAGGGAAGCGTTATATCTCAGGTACGGCCCACGCCTGGGCAGTTCCGTCCAGTCTGCCCCTCACCAGGGTAACTGGGAACCGTGGCTAGATGGGCCAGGTGTGTGTGTTGGGCTGGAAGGGGTGTGTGTGTGTGTGAGAGTGTTGTGTGTAGTGTGCTGTGAACTGTGCGGTGATTGTATGCATGGAGGGTTGGGAGCTGATTTGAGGGGTGTGTGTGTGGTGAATTGTGGGCTGTGAGCTTCATGTGGAGGGCTTCACGGGGTGTGTGGAAAACATCAGGAGGCGTGACCGGAGGTGAGTGTGGGTGGTTGAACTGTGTGTCACAGGTTGTGAGCTGTGGGGCGGGTTGTGGGTGACTGTGAGCTGTGGGGTGTGTGGATGTGATAGGTTGTGTGTTACATGTGGAGGCCATGTCACAGGTTGTGAGATGTAGGGTGTGTTTTGGGTGGCTATGGAACATAGGGGTGGCTATGGGATGTGTTGTGGGCAGTTGTGGGATGTGTTGTATGTGGTTGAGCTGTAGGGCGGGGTGTGTTGTGGGGTGTGGGTGGCTGTGGTGCATGTGGGTGGCTGATCTGTGGGCTGTGTTGTAGGCCATTGGGTGTATGTGTGGCAGTGGTGGGTGTAGGTGGCACAGATGAGTGGTGTATTGTGGGGTGTAGGGTGTGTGGATGGTTGAGCTGTGGGGTATGTTACGGGCTGTGGTGCTGAGCTATGGAGGGCTGTGGGTTGTTTTGTGGGCTGTGGGTGGCGGAGCTGAGGGGTGTGTTGTGGGGGTGTGGCTGGTGGAGCTGAAGGGTGTGTTGTGGTGTGTGTGTGTGTGTGTGTGTGTGGTGTAGCTGAAGGGTGTGTTGTGGGCTGTGGTGTGTGTGGGTGGCGGAGCTGAGGAATGTGTTATGGAATGTGGGTGTGGCAGAGATGAGTGTGTTGTGTGTGGGAGTCGTGGGGCTGAGGGGGTGTGTTGTGGGCTGTGGTGTGTGTGGGTGTTGGAGCTGAGGGGTGTGTTGTGGGGTTTGGATGTGTTAGCGCTGGGCAGTGTGGGGGTGTGGATGGCGGAGCTGAGGGATATGTGGTGGGCTGTGGTGTGTGGGGTTGGTGGAGCTGAGGAGTGTGGGTGGCGGAGCTGAGGGGTGTGTCATGGGCTGTGGTCAAGAACCCTGCACTCTCGGGGTGCATTTGCCCTCCCCTGCACTCTGCTCTGGTCCCCAGGGAGCTCCGGCTTTGCTCCAGGACTGCCCTGCTCCTCGCTCTCCCTTCGCACGGGGCATGAGGCCAGGACCCCCCCCCCCAGCTTCGGGGCAGGTTACCCAGGGGCTCCTCCCACCCCCAGAGGCAGGTCGTAGGCGACGAGTTATATCGGCCCCTGGTGCCTGGAGTCTGGTCTCTCGCCTGGCCCCCCCTGCTGCCCTGTGCCCGCCCTCCTGGGGCGTCCCCCCACCCGCCTGCCGCCCCAGCGTGAGTGAAAATGCCCCGGGGGCCCTGCCGGCAGCACAGCGGGGATACAGCAGCTTCCTGCCGCCTGCCCTGCGGCTGCCAGCCTGCGAGTCCTTGTAGTCCTGGGGGGGGGGGGTGTCTCCGTGCTCGACAGAGACTGACCCCCCATCTGCAGGGCGTGAGTGGCAGGAAGCTGCTTTAGCCCCACTGTGCAGCTAGCAACCCCCTCCCCCCCGCAGCATTTTAAACGGCCTGGGGGCTGCATGTGGGGCCAGGGGCACCCCAGGATGGCACGCATGGGGTTGCACAAAGATCCCTGCCAGAGGGGGGTGCCTCAGGTAAGTGTGGTACCCCCCCCTCCTCTTTTGCACCCCCCTCTCCCTGCCAGAGCATCTCCTCCTGCACCCTCATCCTCTGCCCTGGGCCAGAGCCTGCAGCCTTCCCCCCTCCCACACCCAAATCCCCCCCAGAGCCTGCATCCCTCCTGCACCCCACCCCGGTACCTGCCCCCTGACTTCATCTCGGAGCCTGCATCCCAGACCCCCTCTTGTCCCCAAACTCTGGCCTAGAGCCCGCACCCCCTTCTGCCCCCCAAACCTCTACCCCAGCACCCAAGCTTCCTCCAGAGCCGTAAGCAGGTGAGGGCAGCGGGGGGGAGGGGGGCGGGAGCGGGAGCGGGGAGGGGAAATTTGAGTGGGGGAGGGGTAGCGGCTCTGGGCATTCTGGGCACCACCAAAATTTCTGCAGCTTTGCCGCCCCGGACCAGGCAGCACTTCTGCCCCTCCCGCCGCAGCGTGCGCCTTCCCGGCAGGGCCAGGACCCAGCCTGCCAGACGAGCAGCCCCCCTTCCCCCTCACAGAGGGCTGAGCTCCAACTCGCTTCAACTTTGGCCTCCCTTGCCTTGCCCCACACTGGCCTCCCCCCGGCCTGGCTCCCTTGGGGAGCGGGGCAGGTCTCCCCCCGGCCTGGCTCCTGCAGGCCACTGTCTCCAATCAAAGGGAGAGAAGGAAAACAGAACCCTCCACTGGGATGTGTC